TGGAAGAAGAGAGCCAGCCGAGCTGGGGGAGCAGCTCAGTGGTCCCAAGGTCTTCGAGAGGAAGAGTACTAAGTACAGTTACGGCTCTGCTTTGATCAAGAGATTGGTTATAATCATGAGTAGTGAAAGATGTTCACGGAGTTAGGGCAATGGGAGCCAGGTTTCTTGTTCACAGAGATGGTGTTAGGAATATAACAAAGGGAAAGAAATAGACTGGGTCCCAGGTTGGAAGTGGAGGGACTAATATGAATTGATAACTTGATAACTTTCAATATTCAGAAATAAATGCAGAATCTATATGAGATGTGTATTTGTATACACCACATGGGTTTGGGTTTGCATGCACATGTACACACAGTTCAGCTCCATCAACCTAATGGACTTAAGAAAAGCAACACTCCAGGGGCAATGAGCACACCTGGTGACAGATCTTTGTTCTCAAATGCCATCCTTCAGGAAAAGAAACTAGGTAAGCATGCTTGGGACAATGACTGATTCCAGGACTGGGCACAAGTGTATAAAATGAGACTAATATCTTTTGAGACAAAGGTAAATAAAAGGTAAAAGAATTGTAGTGATGTGTCAGAGGCTTGTAAGAGCTTTCTCTGGACAATATGGGACAATTTGGGTATCAACATAAATAATGATACTAATAGCACCTTATTAGGTAAAATAAAAATTCATGATTCTACACTAATGTAAGCAGGCAAATGAAAAGATAAATACATTAGGACAAAGAAAACTTTCTTACAGTAGAATACTATCAAAAGTTATGAAAGGAATGATGTTATTAGAAAATTTCCACTGGGCTAAAACTAGTGGGCAACAGCAGAATAAAGAATGGGATGTTCTGCCCTTTCTTTTTTTCTGCTCCTGAAATTATTCACACAGATCAAAGACCTCACTGCGTGCTCCCAGCCTCAACTTTCCCCACTAATTTCCATCTCTAACTGGCTTTGATGAACCTAAGATAATTCCTTTGCATCTGTCATCATGTTACTTTATTTTTTCTTTAATGATGTCCTTTCTTATGTCATCCAATGAACTTTGAATTAGAATTACTATATTTTTCAACTCCATATGTTCAAATCTTTGCTTTTGAAACTGCTTGAATGTTTTTTCTAATCTCTTCATTATACTTTCACTCCACTTTAAGTTTTGAAACTTACTATATTTCCTTCTTTTATATTTTGAATCTTTTTATTCCCATATTATTAGCCTTTTTTCCAGGTTTGATTAAGTAGTGTCTCATTTGGTCAATTAACTTAGTAATTTGTTCCAAGAGTTTTCCGTAATTTATATCATTAGATCGTATCCTTTGGAATTTTATTTGTGAGGATACATTAAACCTTATATTTAAAATTTAGTTTTCCAAGGAGGATTTTTGTTTATTTCTGTCCAGTGTCTACTATCTTAAACTTAATTTTCTTCTGTGAAGTTTTAATATATGAGTAGTGTGAATTTGTTGTAACAAATCTTAGAACATTTGCTTCTGTTGTGGGGAAATTCATGGCCATTACTGACATGTATCTTATTTCCTTCTTTCAATTTTGTAGGCTGAAATTCTAAAATTTGAATCTTCAAAATATTTTAATTATAGTAATATGCATTCTGTATATACATCTACATGTTGCATGCTTATTTTTATGACTATTGTAAGATTTGAGAGATTAATATAGAAGGAAGCAGTTATAAAGCTAACAAGCTAAATTTACAAATATTAATCTTTCAATTATTTCCCTTACTATATTCAAGTGTTAATTATATATTTATTGGTTCAATATTAAATATATATTTTACAAGTTGTTAGAGAGTAGACTAGATTTACAATATACTCAACATACCATCAAAAGCCAGAAGGTTCAATAGTTGGTGAAGTTTGGTAGATGATGGCTTTTCATTAGGATATATAAGAATTTAATTTTTAGGAGCCCATAATACTGAGTGCTTTTTTCTTTTTACTTTGAGTCTCAGTTACCCAGGCTGGGTCTCTTAGTCACTTCCTCCTCAGTGAGACACAATACCAGATACACACAATTTAGAATCCGAGTAAAGCTTTATTGGGGCTCGCTGTTGCCATCCCTGGTTGACTGGCTCTAAGGTAGATACAGCGTGGAGGGAGGACCTGCCTCCTTCGGGTCATGGTGCTCGGGAAGCAGAGAGCGAAAGAAAAGAGTCAGGGAGGGAAATACACCCTCCCAGAAAACAGCCCCAGGGAGAAACCTCTACTGACCAGGCCCCCCCGCCTTTCAAAGCACACTCCGCTGCTCTTCTCTCCGGGGGATGAATACACTCAGTGAGAACAGTTACCAAGACCGCACCCCTCTCCGACAACCTCCCCAGAGATGCCTGAGAATTTGGGGGAGGAAAACTATGGATTTAAACTGGAACACTGGGCTTCAACTCGCAATCCTCCTCCTGCCTTATAAACCTTCCAGGCAGCTGATACTGCTAACTGTTCTTTTCCTAACTTCCATTGTCCGTGAAAATGGACTTTCCATAGCCCTCTTGGCCTTTCTTCACATCTTCACTTATTCTGCACTGGGGCAAAGATGATGGTGATCTACTGAGTGGTAAATTTTATGTTTGTGCTTTCCCTTTAGCTGGGAGCAAGTCTATCTCAGAGAGGGGACATCTCTTCTGCTCCTTCAGACTAAGTTTTACTTATTTTGTGAAGTGAGACCTACTAAAGACTTGCTCAGAAAGAAGGAGTGATACATACAAAGTTCCTCCAAAGCCTCAAAAAATACCAATAGGAGACATCATTTCTCTTTCAGATACTGTATTATTAAGATTAGAAATATAGCCTTGGTCTTGGTGGCTTAGATCTAAACATACTACTAAATGACTACTTGAGATAACATTTATCCACAGAATATACTGTTATTCTCAAGAACTACAATTAGTTTTCTTGTTGAAATAATGTGTACATAACTCAGTGTTAGTTCATAATAAGATAAAATAAATGCCGTTGCATGGATAGAGGGAAGGACAGCATTAAAAACTCCAAACATCTGTCTTCTAAGTTTGGCTAATTTTTTCCTTGAGAATATTATCCACACAGAGACTTGTTTTTTTCTAATCTCTAAAATTAAGATAAAATGATCTGCTTCCTACATCAGTGTAGAATCTAAAGAGTCAACTACACCCTGGGAACATCACAAATTATTCAAGTGGATAGGATGAAGCTGGAGGTTTCACTCAAATTTTTTTAATTTTTAAAATAAAAGTTATTTGGCAAACTGATTATGCAATATCAGTGCTATTGTACTGCATGCAGTGCAAGAAGGAATAATAAAATCAAACACAAATGTGTATTTAGATACCGTCTTATTGTGCTTATTTTTTGTTCTCCACACCAATGCCACCTAAGCCATCTTTGTCTTCCACCTGGTTTTACTTAAGCAGAACAATGTTGGCAGTGTTGTCTTTGAAGAATATCAATCTAAAGAGATTTCTTTAATAGTATTAATGCAGAATTCATTGTGGTTATATTTACAGCGTGAATAGCCTCACCATATGTACTTACTCTGCACATCTTCTTTAGTTCTGGCTACAAAGCCGATGGTGGTATGTCTTAACTTTGACCTGGAAAACGGAGGCTCAGAGAGGTGAAGTAACTTCCTTAAGGTCACACAGAGATACTAATTTATAAGACAGATTTGCATGTAATAACATTTTAATTTGGCAAATCCTCATAAGAGAAAAGTGGTTTTTAATATAACTCTCCCACACTCACTCAGTCATCACCTCCTAGGACAAAGCACATTGTGCCAAGCCAGGCTGGGTCCCAGATAACCACCAAATCTTACAGTGCAGGTGGGCATCAGAAGAGAACTAGGAGCGCTTTGCATGGGTTCAATATCGGTAGAGCCATTAGTACTATTATTGCCTTTTTTATCATGAGACCTTTTCTTAAAATGCCTGAACTCTAAAGAAAGCCCTCCTAGGCTGACTTGAGGAGAGATTCCAGGATATTTCCTTTTTTGAAAATACACAAGCATATCTGGAGAAATACCCACAAAACTTGCAGATGAACATCCCCTCTTGGAATTTTAGAAACCAGTCAGATCTCCAGGCTTCTTTTCAGATGGAGCAAATAACGAGTCTCTGCCTAATTTCAATTAGCCCCCACAGCAGGCATCCATGCAGATGATTGGGCAGGAAAAAGCACTGTCTGTGATCTTTTGCCAGGAGCTGCATGCTGTTCAAATAATGTGCTAGATATGTACGAGCAAGCTGTAATGTTAGTAACTCCTTCGAAGGCATTTAAATTATTGAACTATTTTGTGAGAAATAAATAATTCTAATATCAAAATGGTCAACCTTTTCGAAAGCCATTGGTGATGAGGAAAATCTGAAGAATCGTGATCCAGAAAAATAGATTTAGACTTAAGGGAAAGAAAGTACTGGGTCCTCCCTTATCACCCCTTCCCACGTGCTCCACCATCCCCCTACCCACCAAGAAAGAAAGCAAGGGAACTGCAGTGTTCAGACCTCCTCATTTCCTCTGTAGGAGCAGGCACTGCAGAGAGCTGGAAACCTCATATTCACAAGGCAAACAAAGCATCATTTTTTAATGACTCTTCTGAATATATTTTTGCAGCAGCTTCCCTAGACCTGCTTGTCATAATGGTTTCTTCAAACGTTTTTTAAAGCCTGTGATGTTCAAGGCCCTAGCCTTCCCCCTCTCTTGCTTGTTTTTTATGTGTCACAGTTGTCAACTAAAATAGAGCACCTAGCCTTTGTTTCAAGATGGTACCTGATCAATATCATCAATCCGTCTCACTCTCTCTCTCTCTCTCCCTCTGTCTCATGCGCTCTCTCTCTCTCTCTCTCTCTCTCTCTCTCTCTCTCTCTCCAGCTGTATCCATTTCCTCCTGGCAAAAAGGGACTTTATGAATAAATGATACTGAAATGCTGAGGGTTCAGATACTAAATAATGAATTTCACCACCAAAAACACAACAACTTCTCCAATCATAAAATACCGCTCCTTCCATATTGATTGTGCTTTGGCAACTAGATGCAGTGCTAGGCTTCACTCTGCAAGGTGTTTAAAAAGAAAAACAGGTTTGCCCAGGATTTATCATGTATGGAAAAATGTAATCTCTAAATAGGCTGTCTGCTAATGTCTGGCATAATGTTTCTTCATAATGGTTAACCCTTTTTCAGGGAGTGGAATAATGCAAACAGTGCCTCTCTGTAGATGGGAACTTTGCTTCATGGGACATTACAGTAAGTGTGTCATCTGTTCTGTGCTGTTGTGTGGGTACTAGCTTGTAATGATAATGCAAACCTCCTTTTATTATTTGTTTAAAATCCTGCTGTGTGCAGGGAATGGAGCATCCTGCGGCAGGACAGGGACTAGGTCAGAGGACCTGCAGTGACTGTTCATTCTCATGTTGCTGGGTGCTGGGTTCGCGGTTCACTTACTGTTGCATGTAGTGGGTCAAGGTTTGGGAGCATTTGTTGTCTGCTCAAATGTGACTTGCTTTCCTATTTCCCTTATGAATGGTCTCTGCTGGCATATTTCTGATGTGCAAAGAATGCCAGTATCCGCTATCTGAGACATGACTGGGGTCAGGGAGGGTAGATTCTTGGCATGTGATTGGCAAAACCTGCCTTCTCTCAAGTTGTAGGCTAACTTTTTTTGACTGAAATGCTCTGTGTCTGCCTATAATTTCGCTTTACTGCCTATTAATGTCAGAGAAGCTTTATTTTTAATTAGACAGAATCAAGTAGACTTTGTTTTACGGGCAGTGCTCTGCATTCCTATTACATATTTTGATGTATGCGTTGTATAGTACAGGTTATCAAATGATGTCAGTCATATGAAAGAAATGAAGTAAGTTTTGAGCATTGTCTGTGCTGTCTTTATTTCATGAAATTGTACTTAAGCTGGATTGCTGTGATGATTTTAATGTTAAAAACCACAAATGTTAATTTCTTTCCTTCTTTTTTGGACATGCACTGCTTGAAAAATCTTACTGTCTCCTTTATAGTTATCAGCAGACAATAGAAAATGTTTGTTTGTTTACCTGTATGCTAACTGTATGCTAAAATAAAGCACATATTTTCATTTTATTCAAGAAAAATGTAATTTAAGGAAAAATGCAGGCATTAATTTAGAGTTACTGATGCAATGAGATGGAGGAATATATTTGAGCTATTAGCCGTTTCAATCTCCTGCCCACAAATAATTGATGAGCTTCTATTAAAGATTGACAAGCTAGCAGAGTGCAACGCATTTTTACTAGAAAATGCAGCATGGGCAGTGAATATGCATTATTCCTTTTATTCTATTGCACCGCATTAATAGTTCTGGAATTAAGCATAGTATTTCTCTAGACCTATTGATTAGCATTTAGCTGGAGATGTACATGTGCCTATTCATGGTGCTCTCTCTACAATAATAATTTGAAATCCCTAGCCACTATTCACAGCCTGTTTGCATGTTCGTATTTCACATACATGAAGTTTTCACTTATCTCCTTAGGATTCATTGATAAGGATTTAATGCTTTGTGAAAAATCTTAACTTGCCTTTCAGACAATTAAAGCACCAGTTAATGTCATTCAGTCATCAGGGCTTACGAACAGCTCCTCTGTAGAGTTCTAGCCCTGAAAGTCAGTTTCAGTTGTCAGTGTCAATGAAGGGTGTATTTAAGATTGTGTTTTATATGTCTTGAACATAGGACTACTTTAGAAGAGTACAGAGAATTCAGATGTATATTCTTTACAGGGTTTACTTTTGATTCATGTGTTTTACCTACAAATTTATTGTAAGTAAAGAATATTATGGAGTGGACACTACTTTTCAGGGTATATTTGACGTTCTTCATAGGCTTACTACTCTCAGACAGTTCACTGGTACTTGCTGAATAATTTCATGACATAATATTTTACTTTTTTTGTGTTGTTTTAACTACCTTGCACTTTGTTTCTTGATTCAGTGCTTCCTCTTATTTTGAGAGCAGTATATCAGCAGAATCCCTTTGAGAATTGATTTTTTTTTTAATCCTTAAAGGGGCAGAAAATGTCTGCAGTATTTGAAACAATAGTTTTTCTTAACTTAACATGCAAGAAATCTGTTCTTTCAACTTCCTTGTGACAAATTCTTACTGAACCCACCTAATACTGCTATCAGTGTTCTTTGCTCACAAAATCACCAAAAAAATTGGGTATGCATTTAAATTGTCCAAATTTCATCTGGGCTGCCCCATGACAGCCAAGGAGTGAAAGTGGGGCAAATGGCATGATTTTACACAAAGTCTGGCTTTTTAATAAAATTCTGGTAGACACCTTGTTTTACCTGGGGCAATTCTCTGCTGTTCTTGCCCTCTTAGGAAATCACACACAGTGATACAAGCGTGCTAGCTGACAAGCCCTCTGTAAGGACAGGTTCAATAGCATGCATATTTCTCTGCAAACTAACTGACTACGTAATATAATAAGCATACAACTCAAATGAAAAGTCTCTAGATCTGGAAATTTAACATCAAGTTGTAAATACGGTATAGTTTTTTTAAGGGATGGGAAAGTTGTATTTTGTGATCTTTATCCTTATTACTTGAACCCCATATATTTTAATTTTTTTGTTGTCAGTATGTAGAACCAAAATCAATCTGACACTCACCTTCAATGAAATTTAACCTTCTGAAAGCCCTTAAATGCCAGAAATCTCAAAACATTCTTTGGTTTTACTTTTTTATATATACAGTTATATATGAATGCAGCAAGTGGTACAATTTTTGGAGGGATGCACATTGTTTTGGTATTTATAAATATTTTTTTCTGTAGAAAAATGAATAGGAGAAAATAGTTCACCTCCATATGATTTGATTTATCCTTAGGCATTGCCTGAGGTTACTGGAACATCCCTGGTTTTCAGTATCGAAAGGCAAAATGCACAACAATGAAAATTTTATTAAAATGTATGTTAACCCATTACTGTATGTTCATTTTCAATTCTTTATAGGAAAGCATGATGTATCATTTTGTGTGTGTCATTCTTTAAAAAAAAAGAGATGAGTCAAGTAAAGGAGCAAATTTAATGGGGAGAATTTTATGGGAAACATTATACAAATGGCAGTGTGTGTGATTCCCATTATTAAAATAATTTGTCATTGTATGAAAAAAGGTATAAATTTCAAGAGTCTTCTTTACTTATCTGCCATTTTTTAATGACAGCGGCTTTTGTGCAGTAAAGTCAGACACGTTCTCAGGCAAATCCCATTTCAGGCCAGAATTTCTGAAAGCCCTATTAATGTTTCATGCTAATCAAGGAGAATGGGAAATAGAGCTGACAGGTGCTTTCTACTCTGCTTATTCCTGTCTTTCTGCATTAGACATTACTAGCTAAAAATGGACCAATGGGGTTCTTTCCCAATGCATATAGTAAGGAAGACAAAAATAAAATGATTCTTGGCTTAAGCTTGCTGTTGTTTCCCATCTTGGATGAGCTGATAACATTTCTTGGTCATATGCGCACATTGATTATTAATAAATCTGTTTTATTCTAAACTGTAACCTCCAAAAGGATCTACCATTTGGACCTAGCATTCTAGCACAGTGAGCCATGCCATTTGGGAATTCATAAAAGATTCCATCTGGACTTCACATGATAAAATATTGTACCTACAAGTAATTTGAGCTTTTTGCTTATATATACCATCTTAAATGGAAATTTCATGGATGGATATGATAAATTCTGTCTCCATCATGTTATCTAGGGACATAATTTAGATTGGAATACATATACTTTTCCTTTTTTCACTAGAGCACTTATACATAACCAACCTGTCAAAGCCCCATGCCAAAATGAATATATTCCAACATGTCTAGTCCAAAGAAATATACTTTACTAATTGGGGAATGGGTGTGTCTTTATTTATATAATTTTAAGCTGATTGAACCTGTCAACTTTGTGTAAATTTTTTTATGAAATAAAATCAAAGTATCTTTCTCTTATGGGAGATTTTTCATTTATCATCATAATAATAGGCTTAAAATGGTATCTTTGCATGATTGACTTTTCCACATATTTTATTCATAAAAAACTTTTTTTCTTAAAATGCATTTAGACATGACAAGGACTATTAACTTCAAGTTTAACTACTGAGAGCCTGCCATTTTCAGACACCTGCTATCTTTCTTAGGGAGGTGGAAGGTGACATATGGTGCTTTGGGGATAGAATAAAGCAATACCTTGCAAAGTTTTCAAGTAGAAAGTATAAGGTTACTAAAATATCTTAATAGGAGAACAAACTTCAGTTATCCATAATTAAGAGATGTAGAAATATCTAAGTTATTTTCTTCTAGCTTCAAGAGGGAAACTCTTTCATAGTCAGTTACTTTCCCCAGCTTCAATTGGTCTTACTTAGGCCATCATATAAAGGTCTGTAACAAATACATGCATAAAGTCAAATAAATTATTTGAGATTATGGAATCTATCAGTGTGCCAATTTTTTAAAAAAAATTCTCTTCTTTTATCTTAATAGTAAATAAAATAGGAAATTTCTGGCCATGGTTTGTAAACCAAGGGCCAGAACAGAATGTAGAAATGAACACAAGTGATGCAAAGTAGTAAAAATCAGTTTTCTATTGTCTTTATCTTCATCAGATAATAGCAGAAGATCTTAGCTAATTACTTAAGGCAATTAGTCTTATTTGGGGGAGGTAGAGCCCTTCAAAACATAACAAAACCTATAGATTTTTTTCTTGAAAAATATTATATGCATTCAAAGCTTCACATATAGTGTCTTAATATTACTGAAAACCTACCCATATGAGTCCTCTAAACCTATGCATTTGGATTAATTGTAGGTTGCTAAAACTCCTCCATTCACACGTACTGCTTAATTCTGAAAACATAATATGGCCCAAATATACATTGCATAGCTACAAAGACTCATTCAGACTAAAGGCAAAAATGGACCTAATAAAATATTGTTTCATCTCTTTCTTTTTTATCATACTGGTTACTTGGTCATGACTTAACCTCCATGATAGTGATGCTACTGTTTCTTCCCAAAGAAAAGGACCCTCACACAGAACATATAGGGTTTTATAAGGAGCAACATGAAAATTTACTGAATATTTGGGATCAGAGATGGAATTTCTTTGTTTCTTCCAGAGATTTGCACCCATCCCATCACATCTCCCACTAAACACTAGTTCATCTTTGTTCTTGAACCATGTAGAACTTCATCTCCTTAAACTTATTGTAGGAGAGT